TACTCCTTAATTCTTTGTGAAGTCTTTCCCAACCAGTGGCTCCATTCCCCCCTGCCTGCGCCTCTAGTGGCTTGCAGTTCATTATTTGCTAGAAACACACCTCATCCAATCCATTGGCTCTCAAACCAGATGTGCTCCTGGACATCTGGGTTTGGCAAAGGGTAAAAGTCAGTCCCAGAGAGATTCTCAGAGGTAGGAGTGTATGCGCTCTCCTGTCTTTTTCTGCCTGCTTAGTAAGTCCCCAGTCAATGCAATATATGAGTGAACCACTGAAGCCAATCACGTCAGTAATGCAAGCCACGGCCTGGAGGCCTCTCGGATGCAGCCAGATCCCCGACTTCAGCCTGTCCCAGCCCTGGTTGTTGCAGCCATCTGGGGAGTGAACCAGCAGGTAGAAGGCTTTATCTCCCTCTCCATCATTAACTTTCAAAATAAATCAATAAAGCTGAGAGTCCATTTCCATTCCCAAGAGGCAAGACACCTGTGGCCCAGCCCAGCAGGTGCCTGGACCTTCCCTGGGTGTTGTGAGGCGAACTGAAGCCATCTGTGAGATCTCTCTCACAGCTTACCTACCTTTCCGAAGGTGGAAGCCACGCGTGCGTCCAGCAGAGGGCGCGCCACACTGCAGGGAAGCGTCGAACGGAGCCCGGTCGGCCCCGGTCCCTGTGGAAGCCTCCTCAGGAGCTGAGGGACCAGAACCCTCACGTCCTGGAAGGGAGGGGAGAGTCTAAGGGAAGAACCGTGAGCAGCGGACAGTTTCGGCGTCGAGTCCTGCGTGTGTCCGAGTCTTCCCGAAAAGAGGACTGATCCCGAAGAGCTGCCAGTTCTCTCCTGCCCCCAGCTCCGGCTGCGGGCTCCAGGCTGAGGTTCTGAGGAGAATCCCGTGTCTCCACAGCCACAAGGTCAACCTGCAGCCAGGTGTTCCCGGGACAAGCCCTCCAGTTGGCCCGGGGATCTGAGTGGGAGCGGGCAGTTGCCTTAACCCTACCCAGATGAGGCTTCGCTGCCCAAACGAAACACAGTCACCCTAAAACTACATAGGCCACACTGTTGGGTTCTTCGGGCGCTCCAGCCTTCCTTCCGTGGGCGCCCCTCAGGTTAACGTCCGGCTCTGTCCTCACCTCCCCAAGACCTCCGGCTGCTCAGACGCCCCCTGCCGGTCACCCTCCTGCTAGCACCAGCTCTGTCTCAAATCTTAAATACTCTATACTCCCCTTTTGCAAGTATCTTCAGATATTGATTTTTGAGATCCATCTCAGAATTATACACACCAAGGTACTTCAAAAAGCTTGTGGAAAGCAGAATTAAAAGGTAAGCTTGTTCTGACGCCAAAAAAACGTTTTGACATCGATGCTTAGTTTTTTTCCTAATACTTTTCCACAAATTTGACACAGCTTCTCCAGTCTTGTCTGTGAAGCTGCATGCACTCCGATTGTTACTGCTAGGCTTCTTGTTCCAGGCTAGGCATATCCCAGAGGCCTCCTCCTCCCGACCGAGTGTCCATGTATGTCCAAGTTGGTGTCGGCATCCTCCACAGATGCACATAGCTTCCCTCCTGGACCTGCCTGCCTACCTGCTCTATTTTCTCACCCCCTTCCTTCTCCTTGTTACCCTCCCCTTATAATAAACAGGAATAACAGCCTCCAAAAAATATATATGGCCACTATTTGCTATATTCATTCCATAATCTATCCTTGGCCTACCATCAGTGGCAGGTAGGTGGCTAGACAGAGGAGGAATGCACCTGTTGGCTCCATGTCTGGGTCTATTCTGGATGCATAGTTCTTTCCCGTTATCTACTTCGTCAATATTGCTGTCATTAAGGGTAACTTCATTATCATAGTTTTAGATCTTTCCTTGCTCTCTGGAAGGTCAAGTCTCCTTTTTTTGTTTGTTTGTTTTTGTTTTTGTTTTCCCTTTCCCAAAATATTTCCCAGCTGCTCCCAGGCAGTCATATTCCCGAATCATTTTTTCCGATTTCAAAAATACCACTATGCAGTGTGGCTCTGTGTAATTACGACCATCACCATTGTGATTTTTGAGTCCTCCTTCAGAAACAAGAAAACATTCCCTGGCTGCAGAAAGCACCCACTCAAAGCCTGGTTTTGGTCAAGTGCTTTTAACCACCTGTGGTCTGGACAATAGCAAAACACAATGGCTACTACAAAGAATACCTGAGCTGATGGCTAGGAGCCCTTAGAACAGTGCCCCTGGCACAACGTAGGCATGGTAACTCTTACTAGCCCGCCTTTAATGAAGAAGGCTCTCCTCAGGGAGAGGCACCATCTCTGATGCCTCACAGTCTGATGATTTCAACCCTTACCATCCCCATCAGTGGTCGACCTCCAGTGTTTCTGTCTGCAAAGGCAGTTGGGATTGTTTCCAACAGAGGCCTACAGTTCTTCGCAATCCTGTCTTCTGCCTGTGCCCCAAGGAAGGCTGGGAATTAGCCTGTGAGCTAAGGTGTTAGCTCCAAGTTAGGCCAGACAGGTACCATCATCTCTGCCTTGTGGAGAGGGAACCTATAGCCCTGGGGGTTAGAGAGCTTCCTGAGGACACCCACAGTGTTAGCTCTCCATTGTGAAAAGCTCCAGAGGGGAGCTTCTTAGGAAGATTTAGTTCTGCTTAGTTTGGAAATTCCCACTCCAAGAGAGCAACCCCCTTGGTTTAGCCATCTGGTGATGCTGGAAGATAACAGAGGAACAACAGCATGGCCAGGCATGGAGCAGACAGAAATACACCCTATATATGGAGGCAACTGTCTCTCCCAGCCTACCTTCCAATGTCAAGCCCAGGGAGCTAAAGATCTCCCACCAGGCCTACCCCCCAGACTATTTTTAGACCCAGACAGCACCCATCATTCATTAACCTTAATCTGTTAGCCATTAACTTAAGACTTTGGTATTTTAACATCTGCATGAGTTGTGGAAGCCAAATTCTGCAGAAACCATTACACAGAGTGAATCAGCAGCACTACTGGGGCTTATCCTCAGCTCAGTTGGAGAAAGAAAAGATCTGCGTTTTCTTATGCCTGTGTGCTAGCGATAACTTGCCCAGAAAACACAGCTTTCGACTGTTGACAGTCCTCTTCCTGAAGGATATGCATTCCACAAGCTTCAACGCTCTAAAATGTGCCTCTGGAGTAAATCACCCCAGCTGAGTTCCAGAGCTGTCACCACAGTCCTGCCTCACAGCACCAGCTGCCCTGGTCCATCCACTCCGATTTCCCCCCTCCTGCCTGCCTCTGGCCCCAAGAAAGAGGAGCCCCTGGGGGTCCAGGAGACATTTCCAGTCTGGGCCTGGGCTACTGTACCTGCGAGACCACCTCTGCTCATGGCCTCCTGCAATCCCTGGATCACATAAGTCCAGGTCTTCTCCCAATGCTTATTGAGCCTCTCTAGAGAGTACAGCCTCACAGAAGCTAGACATCCCTTGGGGTGGCTGTGTTCTAGAGGTTTTTTAGGCAGAAGGTGGACTGTGGAGTGGGGCGTGGTCAGCAGGCACGGGCCTGATCCTGGTGAAAGACCAAATCAAGAAGGAAACATTGGGATGGGCTGTGGACCATGCCTCCATTTTTAGCTCCCACCAATGTCAGGGTAAACATGCTTATACCGCTCTCCTGCAGTCACTGGGTGTTGGTTCTCTGCTATCCACACACAGAGGGGCAGTGTACAGGCCAGCCTGAGACAGCAGTATTCTGGTTACCAGGAGGATGTAGGGCCTGGCCTGGGAGCAGGAAGAGCCAGATTCGCCATCTCTCTTCTGGATGAATTTGCTTTTCTACTCTGGTCACAGTGAATGCTGTCGCTGGCCATGCCTCCCTTTTCTGCATGTGCTGTGGGACCCTTAGAGCTCCCTCACCAGTGCACAGCCTAGTGGCAGGTGTTATGTACAAGCTACACTTGGTCATACTCTATTTTTCTTATATTTTTATTGGTAAGGAAGATCAGATTTATGGACACAAGGAGAGACAGAGAGATCTTCAACTGCTGATTCACTCCCCAGAAGGCCACAACAGCCAGAGCTGAGCTGATCCAAAGCCAGAAACCAGGAGCCTCCTCCATGTCTCCCACGCAGGTGCAGGCTCCCAAAGCTTAGAGCTAACCTCTACCGCCCTCCCAGGCCATAAGCAGGGAGCTGGATGGGAAGTGCAGCACCCAAGACACGAACCAAAAACCAAACAGGATCCCCATGCTTGCAAGGTAGGAATTAGCCATTTAGCCTTCACATCAGGCCTATATCCTATTTTTCTACTCATATTTTCCTTTCACCCAAACACTCCTGATTTGATATACTTTTTGGATCCTGTTTGGATAGCGCAGAATAGAAAACAAAAAGGGAAGGAAAAAGAGTAAAGAGAAAATGATTCCCCTAGTCCTATAGCCAGCCTGGGGAGCCCAGGGGACACACCTTCTTCCTTCACTGTTGTCAGAATGGATGACGCTGGTACCAGTCAACAGCAGACCGTGGGAACCAAGTAGTCCCCCTGCTGGAGGAGGGCTCCCACTCCCCATGTGTACTCTGGACACTGGGTCAGGACGGCAGACCATACACTTCAGGCCAGGAAGTGTATCGTCTGAAGGAGCAGCAGGTGCAAGTCAGTACACCTGATTGTCTTATCTTTCAGGAAACACAGCAGATTGAGGGTTTTCTTGGGAACATAAACGAGAAAACAGGTGACAGCCCAGAGTGACCCATGTGTGCAGCTGTGTTGTCAGTTTCCATTGGAGGCCCGTAACCTAGCTCTGTGTGCACCTGGGGCCTCTCTGAACCGGCTTCTAGGGATTTCAGCTCACCTTTTGGCCTTAGACTGAACTGCATGTGGAACTACACAGCACACTGTGGCCCACACACAGCAGCCACAGCATGGAGTGAAAACTCTTGAACAGACACAGTCACCAACGTGAGGCCAAACATGCCCATGAGACCCCAGAGAGGACATTCTGCTGTAGGGCCTGGCCAACAGCCGTCCACCGCCAGAACATCTCACAGATACGCCCTGAAACGACCACGTTTTGCTTTATTAGGCGTTTCATGGTAATATAACACAGAGTTCTTAAGGAATAATAAACACGAGACTTGTATTTGACCATAATTATTTTGCCATTGAGACAGTGGTTACCAAAAAAAAAAAAAAAAACAAAAAGATTCTTCGGGCTACACACAATCAGCGTTAGCACTGGAAGTTCCTCCACTCATAGGTCACAATCACGATTTCCATGTCAAGGGTTAAAAACCATCTATGATTAAATCCTACACTGTTTTAGAGCATCAAGTCAGTGCAGTGATTCAGTTCTGAGACACTGGCAATTCATCTTAGCATTTACATATGACATTCATTGGACAGACACACAAAGCAAGCCAACAGGTAAACATGCTTACACAGCCTGCGGAAATTTTCAGGTTTTACATTTTTTTTTCCCCAGAAAACAGTCAAAACAACCAAAATTGCCAAGACCTGATACAGGAAAAAAAAAAAACAAAAAAAAAAAACAGGAAGACTCAAGTGAACACTGAAGAGCTGCAAGTGTTTCTTAGAATTGAAACAAAACCTTTTTTTCCAACTTGTTCAAATTTTCTCTAAGTGCAGATGAGAAAAAAAAAGCAAATATATTAAGTCAACCAATTTTTTTAAAAAGTGCAATTTACCTTTAAAATAACAAACAATAACAACAAAATCCCAGACCCCAACCCTAACCCCAAAAGGCATAACGTGTGGAGAGATGAGTGAATGATGTGATGGCCTGCTTTTGTATGTTATGCTTTAGGAAAGCAGATTTGGCTTGATAGAAGCCTACAAACACAGCATTGCTCACAAGAACCTGTAAATACAGCTGGAAGGAAGTGCCACAAGTCAGCAAGGACAGGGCTGAGCACAGGGAAGTTAGCTAGTGGGAAAGGGTCCCCGAGATGGGAGGGGCAGGACTGCCGACACACGGTCCCCTGCAGTCCCTAAGGGGCCCACACATTTAACTTGTAAGGTTGCCCCCCAACAACAGATCTGATAGGACATAGCATTCATAAAGCAGATTTTTCCTTGTGCAAAGTAAAATGGACTTAGGTCAATTTTTCCAACTTTTCTAATTTTTTCTGACTCATAGGCCTACCTAGATTGTATTATGTGTTTAGAACTCATTGGACCCAAAAATCACCTTTTGTTTTTCTCTCCAAAATAAGGAACCCCAATGTGTTTTGGATATTTGCCAAGGAAAGCGCAGGCTCTAAAAGCTAGACCCTCTGCTGGCTGAGGACTCTGAGCACAGTGTGGGCTGGAGGCTGCCTGGGTCACTTGGGTTACTGGGCTGGACCTACAGGTTGGACTGTGACTTCAGTCAACTAGCACTGCAGAGAAGGAACAAGCTCATGTTCTGCAGCCTCCCGCCTGCACACCTCGACCCTCGTGCGATCGTGGGGGTGAGACAGCCCGGCCTAGCTCCACACCCGCTCGGAGTCTCACCACGGCGGAGGGTTAGCACCAGTCTCACATGGACGTGGATGACAGAGTACCATGCTGACAATGGCAAAGCTCCAGTGCTTCTGGGCAGGTCTTAGGACCCCAGGACGGCGGGAGACATGGGCATGTGAAAAGACAGCCAGGGGAGAGAAGATCGCTATCTTAGAGAAAAGGGCCAGAGCAAACACAAAAAAGCAGACATGAAAGTATTCATGAATGACAGAGAGAGAGAGAAAGAACACACACAGGAAAACGATGAGAAGAGAATCTTCAAAAGATTCCATATGCAGCACAAACTAGGCTGAAACAGAAAACCTGCCCATTGTCAGCATTTGACCCAGAAGCCGGAGGAGTGGCCACATGGACACTGCGGGGGGCCTCTCAGGACCCACACACCAGCTTCACCAACCACACTGACTCAGCGTGATGGTTAGATAATTGCATCATTAAGATGTCCAGTTCAAACCCCTTGTGTTCCTATTAAATTAGACGTTCCAATTGAATATCAAAAAAAAAAAAAAAAAAGATCTCTCCCCCACCTCTAGAAACTCCCCAATTCCTAAAAATTCTTTTTTTTTTTTTTTAAAGAAAAGCCAAAGGCAGCTCTGGGCAATTCACTTTCTCTTCCCTCAGGGACAGGAGGATGCTAAGGAGTGCAGCGGAGGTGGAGATGAAGACCCCTCTGGGTGATTTGCTTTGTTGCGCATGTCTGAGTGTTGGGTGTGGTCTGTGTGCGGGTGGGTGCTCACACGTGGCTGTGGTGTTTGTGGATGTAAAGGAAAGTGGATGAGCGACAGCAGAACTCCACACACCACACAGAGCCCGGGGACCCCAGTGCACGCCCCAGGAACTGGCTGCCCCCACAGTAACTATCACAGGCTCTTTAAAAAAAAAAAGAAGAAAAGAAAGAAAGAAAAGGAAGGAAGTCTGAGAATGTCCTCAGGTGTCCCATCCCCCGTCCCCAGGTGGTTGGTGGGGCCAGAAGCTCTAGCCCAGGCTGGTGATGTTGGCACGGCCACCAGGGGGTGCCACGATGCGCTGGGTGGTACGACGGGGAATGTTGTCATCAATCTGGGCACCTGGAAACAAGGAGAAAGAGGGAGAGAGAGGAGAGAGAATGTGAGAGACGCAGTAAGGCCACGCTGGTTCCTGCCTCAAAACCCAGATGATAGGCAGGAGGGACCAGAAGTGGTCTGTGCCCATCAGAATCTGGCTGTATGCACTACAGGGAGAAGTAAAACTCCCAACTCATAGCACTATGGTTCCCACTCGATTCGACCCCAGGCCCCAGGCTCAGCCTGGACACAGCCTTTCTGAAGGCAGCTGGTCCTCTCACCGGCACGTCCTCACCTTGTGCACAATTGAAAGCCACAGAAAAGATGTTACAGACTGAGCATCCCTCAGCCTCAAATGCTCCAAGTCTGAAACTTCCAGAGCAGTGAAGTTTCAGCACACCACTAACAGAAAATTCTACACCCAATCTTCCAGAATGGGTCATAGCAAACATCACTGCAGTCTTTGAACTTTGTGGCCATTGAAGCCTTGCCATGTCTAGATTTCTTTAAAAACTGACAACTCATCTGTGGAACCGATGGCAGCTTTTTCAATACCAGCGATCTGACAAGGAAAATTAAAATCCCACTTGATTAGCTATTTCTTCACTATGCCATTGGGCCCAGGGTGCTAGCAAAGGAGAAGTCACCTCCAAATGAAAAAAAAAAAAAAAAAAAGCTTCAAGTGAGGCAAGTCTAAACTTGGGGCCCTTTCCTCTCACTAGCAGGTGGCTAACAGTTACCACTGGCTCTGTATTCAGCATTCCCCATGAACGCTCAGTCATGCCATGAGCAAGATGAAGAGACTGAGGCATGGTCCAGTTTGAGTGCCGACGCTACACAAAACTGTGGAGGAAGGTTCCTGAAACACCACCACATCCTCATTCCAAGGGATGTAGCACTTTAAGGAAAACATTTTCTTGATCTGCACTGAATAGAACTTACCTCAAGACCAGAAATTCCATAGGTCAATTATTCTGAAAATGTATCTCTGTGGATATTAGGGTTTCCACTTTGGGAGGGACAGGAGTCTCACTCCAATCCATGTCCACCCCCTGTTCAAATGCCCCTGCAGCCTCATCAGCTCCAGGGAGCCGGCTTTGGCCAAGCTGTAAACGTACCAGACAAGCTGAATCCAGACTGGTGCAGGTTCCGCACAGGGGGCGCCTGCTGCTTGGCAGGAGACGTCTTGGCCGAGGAAGCGGGAGTGACGGTCTTGGGCGTAACAGACACCTCGCACACGGGTCCGTCATAGAGGCCGCGAGGAACCCCTCTCAGCTCCGCCAGCTGCAAAACACAAGAGTCCCTCTCCTCAGGCCACACTTTTCCTGACCACCTGCGCAGTCAGACTGGGAATGAAGGTGTAGCCAGCCCCCACACTCCAACCCCGAGCTCCCCACAAGGTGTGAATTCTACTTAGCAACTACTCAGCAAGAACTGAGTTGTTACCAGTTTCTCCTTAGGACACTTCAAACTCTTAAACCCTCACCACACTGTGAGACTATCTGCGGCCAAGCTCAGGACCCAGCCAAAACTTTCCTCTCCAACCTCACTCTCCCTTTAATCCCCACACAGCTCGGCCCCTCTCCCCAAACACCAGGCCCCAAATGCTCTGTACACCTGCCATGTTCGCGACCTCCTAGCCACCCAGCTCCTTGCTCCTCTCTCGCCCCTGACTTGACAAGCGTCTACTCAACCACCAAAACCCAATGCAAGGCGCCCTGTTCCCATGATACTTCCCCCTATGCTGTGACTCCATTGGGGTGGTTTCCTGTCCTGGAGCCCCTCCTCTCACTTCCTCATCACAGCTTCACTTTGTTGTGGCTGGCTATGGAAACAGCAGACTCCACCCTCAAGATCTCACCTTCCAACAGTCTGCTCATCTTGTGACTGACTTCATGTGCTTCATAATGTGGACCCGAACTTGACTCATGTTAAAATTAAATAAAGGAAATTGGATAAGAACAAGTCTACTCACCCTGCTCCTGGCCTTGATGCGCTTGTAAACAAAGTCAGGGAAGGGCTTCCGGGGGATGTAGCGCCCGGAGCCTTCGGTGACATGAAGGGTGCCATCCTCCAACACGATCTTCCCCTGGCTGATGACCACCAGCGGAGATCCACGGCACTCCATGCCTTCGAAGATGTTGTACTCGAGAGACTGTGGGAAGAGAACATGGGACACCCCGGACTGGGTCCTGTGCCTGAGCAATGGAGCAGGCAGCGTTCTCTTTCCCAGAGATGAGGTTCTGGTCCCGGACACCCACCACCCACACAGGCAACTTCTCCATCTTCATTTCCCCATCTAGAATATAGGATCATCCTTCCTACCTCTCCAACTTCAGAAGAAATATAGTGCAACAATGTGACAGCTCAGATGGGTGTGTGCCTATGTTTGTAAACACACACACAAACATCAAAAGCCATCTCCTCTTAGCAGCAACTTAACAAAATGGGCCTTCTACAAGGAGATTCTGAAACTGGCTTGCCTGCTTTTTCTATCTGTCAGGAGTATAGCTAAAGCATGATTGCTATGGGAGTCACCTGCCCTGAGTTCAGGGCCCTTGTCTGCCACTTACCAGCTGCATGACTTTGGGCAAATCCCTGACACTCCTCAAAGAAGCATGGTCCCCTGTGTAGATTGATGGCAAGACCAAATGAATGAAACAAACAGAAGCACCTAGCATGCTACTTGGCATGTAGTCGGCATTTAGAACATGTGCAAGCATTTCCTCTGCCAAGCACAGTGCAAGCCCTGTGGTGCCTAGGTTAAGTCTAGCAGTCTATACAGGAACACCTGGGAGAGCTCTGGGGCCATTCTCATGTTGAAGAGCAGCAGGCAGCAGCTCCGTGACTCTAAGCGACTTCAAACTAATGCACTCAAGGGACACATTACAGATTCAGGGTGCACACAGGCCAATACCCTGCCAACCAAGAGGTAGGAAGCTTCATCCCTCCCCAGATACAGATGTTATTCACCCACATCCATGGAGGGGCCCTAAAACCACTCATCTGGCTGCTTGCCTGGAAAATCCACACACAGGCCAGCAATGGGGCTGGCAGTAAAAGTCACCAAGACGCTCCCGGGTACAGCTCATCCTCTCTGGGGTGGCAAACCCTGGGCATCTTTGGTATAAGCTACCAGGGTGGAGGCTCCCAGCTGACCCCTGCTACAGAAACATGCTGGGTGCTGGCTCCCAGAGAGGCAACTATGAAGATCATCATTTCTCCCGGGGGGTCACCCCAGGCAGGGCCACTGGGTGTTAGAAAGGCATGGGAGAGCTGCCTGCAGGGCAGAGTCTCTTTTCTCAAATCCTTAACCCCTCACATGAATTGTCTCCTCTGGCAGGCTCAGAGCTCCAAATGTAAGCTTCCCCAACTCAATACTGAGCCCTGTACCCCCCGGAGGAAGAGTCCCTGCAAAAGGGAATAGAGACATTCTCTCCCCATAACACTGACAAGAGGCTGCCCCACAGCCTGGCGAGGAAGGGTGCTGAACAATTTTAGGTTCTATTTCTGGTTCAACCACAAAATCACTATGTAACGTTAGACTCATCTCTTAGCTCTCTAAGCCTCCATTTATTTGTCTTCCCCATTGGGATAATAATCCCAGACCCTTCGCAGAAGAAAATGAAAGGGTAAATGGGAACACAGTGTGAAATGCATGTGAACGGGTATGACCACTGGCCAGAGTCCTAGAACCCCTACAAGAAGTCACTGGGGATTCCCAAAACTCTAAGAGCTAAGTTCTAAGTGAATGCAACTATAAGCCAGCCAGTGGAGGAGGAGAGAAAGAAGCCATCAGCACATGCAGAATTCAGCAGCTTTCTAGAAGCACCTGCCAGCCACGGCATCTACAGGTGCCAGCATAAGCTGGAGAGCAGCTCACACTCACGGCAACCCCTGTACCTCGGTCTAAATGAGAAAGAAACATGGCAAAAACCCAGGCCATCCTGCAGAAATGCCAGCAACTGTCCTGAGCTGCTGTGGCACTTAGGGAAGGTGTCAGTCACCAGCCCAGGCCGTGGGACATGGGCAGTCTCGAATTATCTCTCATGAGCCAACCTTCAGTCTGGAGTTCCATCTAGAATAGCCTCTCCCTTCATTTAGAATTCACTTCAAGATTTCATTCTTTCTACCCAACGCCAGATGCTTTTACGAAGTTCTCCCTTGGTCCATGTTCATCCCATTTTCTATTTACAGTCATACCTCAATATCTGCAGGGAACTAGTTCCAAGATCCCTCCCACTACCCCATATCCAAATCCACAGATGCTTAAGTCCCTGTAGAAAATGGTGCAGCATCTACATGTAGTCTACACACCCCCTTGGTTTACACTTAGAATCACCTTTACATCACTCACACAACCTAGCACAATTATAAATACTATGCAGATTGTTGTAATGCTGTGTTATTAGAGAATAATGGCAAGAGAATTTGTGCCCGGTGAGGACAACATAGCCAGAGTGGGCCTTCTTGCAAGGTGCATGCCAGCAACTTCACATTCTCAACACATGAGTCTGGAACCCAGAAGTTGCACTGTAGACAACTGCATGCAGGATCGCTTGGATCTAAAAGCTCAGCTTACTGCCCACTGACTAAACAGAGAATCCCAGGACACACAGGAGTCCTTGGCTGAACCCCTCCTTCTTGGCTGAAGGGCCTAAGACATTATGCATTTGCCCAGGGTTTGACTCAGTCCCAAGCTCTGTAGCCTAGACCAAGAGGAAAGAGATCTCCTGAACATGCAGACCCTAAGGCCCGACCAAGTGGTTGGGGGACTGTGTCTCTCCTTGAGAGAGAAATCACAGTCAACGAGTCCCTTGCAGTGACAGCCGCCAGTGTTCAGGCTCCTGGACGGCAGCACTGGCATGGCAATGAACGGCTTAGGACGGTGTTAATAAGTACCCAGTGGGAATCTCAGGAGTAGACACTGGAAGATTTCATTCAGGTTCCTTCTGCCAAGCACTGTTACGAGAGGTGTTGCCACAAACCATGAAAATACAATGCTGCCTGACTTCTAGACACTTTTGTTGTCCTGGAGTCACTCTGCAGGCCCAAGGATAGAAAAGCCCTGGTAACTCAAAAAAATGAGGAGGAGGGTCTTACAGACCTCACTAAAGCAAACAAAATAGCTATCAATACATCCCCTCCACAATCTGTAGGTTATGTCTTGGGTAAATAGCTACGCTTATCCTGTCAAATTCTTTCTACAGATGCCAGGACCTGTCCTTCCTTTGCCTCCCCCTGGGCCCAAGGTTCCCCTGGAGTGGCTCTGTCCTGTGAACAGTCCTTACACTGTTGTGTGTCTTGGCAGAGATGGTCTTGATGCTGTCGGGGTCCCAGATGACCAGGTCTGCATCGGACCCCACAGCAATGCGGCCTTTCCGAGGATAAAGGTTGAAGACTTTAGCTGCGTTGGTGCTGGTCACAGCCACAAACTGGTTCTCATCCATTTTCCCAGTGACCTGAGGAACATTGCACACACACACAAGTCCAACAAAGGTAGGTTGAAAAGCTGAAGGAAGGAACCACTACTCAGCAATTAAAAAGGAACGCACGATTGATGCACATAACTTAGATGTCCTCCTAAATGAAATACAGTCACAGACCTAGGCTTCCAACTCATGCCAACTACAAGTTTTAGCCCTACACCTGGCTTTCCCTGAGACTGTATGGAAGCTAATCACAATTCCCCCCAGATCTTACAATACATGTCATATTTAGGAGGAAATGTCTTAGATTTCTAAACCCAAGACAGATTGTCACAGAAGAATTCAGCTTCTAGAACATTCTCAACCATTATTTTCAAGGCCTCAGATGAGGAGGCAGGAGAACACAGAGGGCCAAGCATGAGTGAGGCCACTGCTGCTTACCACAGCCTTATCCCAGATGACGGACATCCGCTCCTCGGTGCCGTTGGTGCCCTCGGGAATCAGGGTGAAGTTGTCCTTCCCCACGGCCTTCTGAGCAGTGTTGAAAGTACAATGGGCACTGCCAGTGACCTGGAGGTCACCGCTGAAAGGAAAACATACAACCCAGCACTGAAGTACCCTTATAACACTGTGACCTCACCTACTGTAGGAAGGATTTTATGGCTGACACTGCACCAACCACTGGGAAGCCCTTTTGACATCACATTCATTCCCCTTAGACTTTCAAGGTGGCCCGGGTGTTGCATCTGGAATTCTCACCCAGCACAGTGCCAGGATGCTAATTCTTTGTTCACATCTGCTAATTTGAGTTAAGTGAACCAAGATTGATCTGCTGGCCAGCTTCCGTTGCACAACCACATGGTCACCTGCTGGGGCCAGTCTTCTGTGTACAAAGGCAGAGGGATGTAAAACATGAAAAGTCACCAAGACTCACCAGGACAGCAAGGAGTTGAGAAAATCTGGAGTGGTGGGATCAGGGCTCAGAGGTGGAGAAGTGACAAAGGCGGCTGCCTTGGCCCAGTTCTTGCTCCAGTAGTGGGAGCCATCCGTTCCCAAGCTGGCAGTGATGGGCTCGCCATACACCACAGTTCCTGGTGAACAGAACACACAAGGCTCAGTCTCACAGGACAAGGAGGGCAAGAAGTCGGCCTTCCTACAAGTCTCCACCTGCCCGGTGCATGACAAATGTCACCATCCCTTCAAAGGTCATGTCATTTTGTCTTGCAAGCGAGGAAGCTGATATTGAGGTAAATCAAATAGCCCAGCTAGCCCAAGTCACTCATCAGTTGTGCCTACCCTAAAATTTTATCTTAAGCTCTTCAAACTCAACATCCGCTCCCTAGAAGATCCCCCAAGCTTGCTGATGACTTCCACATTCTACACTGCTGATTGTCAACCCTGGAACACTTGCTGTTACCTACTCTCAATACATGCATCTTAAATTTATTAAATAATCTAATGTTTTTACTAATTAAAGGCACCTAAGCTTGAACTTGATGTCAGGTCAGCCAAGTTTGCCTGCCCCTCCAACCCCACCCCACATCAACCCAGCCAGGTTGCCCTCTTCTCCAAACTCAGGGCCCTCAAGGCCAAACACGTGTCAGTGACGAATGCATTTCCCTTCCTCTCCACAGCCTTTGCAAAGCCTTATCACTTGCTAATACACCATGGCACCCTCTTGGCCAGTGGCTCAGCACAGCTGCCCCCTCCCACCTCAGGAATGTCACAAAGGGGTCCCTGTTCAGTCATGGAGTGCTGGTGACCACAGAAGGCAGCTCACTCCAAGCCATTAGTAACAACCTCCCACTCAGAGACACAAGAGCTCCAGGAACTAGGAGACCCCTAGGCCAGAAAGGAAGTCCCCAGGAAGGAAAGAGTCAAATGCAGAATGCTTGGCAGGGTCCTGGGTTCTGATCCACTCAGAGCACCCCTAAGCAGAAGGCAGTGCAAAAGGCCAGCTAGACAGCTGCCAAATCTGCTCCAGTCCATCTCTAAACGGAAAGGTTCACACAGAGAGGACACTTTGGGCCCAGAGTGGTAGCCTAGTGGCTAAAGTCCTCGCTTTGCACGCATTGGAATATGGGCACCGATTTAATCCCAGCAGTCCCGCTTCCCATCCAGCTCCCTGCTTGTGACCTGGGAAAGCAGTCGAGGACGGCACAAGGCGATGGGACCCTGGACCCGTGTAGAAGACACAGAAGAAGCTCCTAGCCCCTGGCTTCAGATTGCAGCAGCTTCAACTGTTGCAGCTACTTGGGGAGTGATCCAACAGAGAGAAGATCTTCCTCTCTGTCTCTCCTCTTCTGTGTATATATGACTTTGCAATAAAAATAAATAAATGTTTAAAAAGAAAAAAAAAGAGAGAACACTTTGCCTCTGTGAGGATCTTTATAAAAGGGATGCTTTTCCATTGTGAGACTCTTCATAGCATGCAAAGAGCAACCTAGGATTCTCGCGGGAACTCCGGCTCCCGGCTGCTGGTTGGGACATCAAACTGCTCTGGTTAAGTCTAACTCTCCTGATTCGGTCATGTTTGGAGGTCCCACTGGTGGAATCTGAGCACAAAGGTGAAGTTTGTCTAAGCCATGAAAAGACAAAGGATCCACAGTCCTACAGATACACTGCTCTTTTCCCTGTGAAAATGTTCAGGAAGACAAAGGTAATCTTAAAGAAAAAACAATGGTTGCATGGTCCCTGAAAATCCTTGGACACATCTGTGCATTTTTCCAAGTGTCCTAAAACTTGCTTGTGCTTGTCCTCTCATCACATCTGCTCCTCAGTGCTGGATTTGAACACTCAAGATCAGCAGGGACTGGTGTTTGGGAAGAGGCCTGAAGCCCATGAGAGTGGATTCCGACCGGCGTGGTTGGAGCTGCTCAACAAGGGACTATGTGCACAAGAGCATGCATCTCTCCAGAGAATGAATTTGGCCTTCAGCCTCTAGAAAACACAAAACCAGGTTAGAATTTCCAAGGCCACTGCTGACCAGAATCTGCATCCTTAAACCCATCGGTTTAGGGCCAAGCCAAGACAGGCAGGAGTAGGCAGGGGTATGCAGGGACCACAGAGGTGGGGCAAGGCAAGGGCAGGCAGGGGTATGCAGGGACCACAGAGGTGGGGCAAAGCAGGGACAGGCAGGGGTATGCAGAGACCACAAGGTGGGGCAAGGCAGGGGCAGGCAGGAGTATGCAGGGACCACAGAGGTGGGGCAAGGCTGGAGCAAGCAGGGCTATGCAGGGACCACAGAGGTGGGGCAAGGCTGGGCAGGCAGGGGTATGCAGGGACCATAGAGGTGGGGCAAGGCAAGGGCAGGTAGGGGTATGCAGGGACCACAGAGGTGGGGCAAAGCAGCGGCAGACAAGGGTATGCAGGGACCACAGAGGTGGGGCATCTGGCTCGTTTTGGCTTTGCTTTGTTCCAACTCCCAGGGGATTCAGAGGTCCTTCCTGTTTTTCAGTCTCATTCCTTTCCTTTAGGATAGGACTTAATCCATCATGTTCAAGGCCTCTCTTCCCAGGGGAGTGTGGGTGCATACACAGCAGGGCAGGGCTCCTCTCCGAATTGTGCAAACACTGTGCACGAGGGAGCAAGGCATGAACTTCCAGGACACCATCTGGCCACAGACACCACTGAATCGCGTGCCAGCAATAACGACCACTAATAATAATAAACCACAGAATGGCTTAATTGGCCTCTGTGCACTTCTCTGCTGATGCCTTCTTGGCATCCGCTGGAGCCTCATGATTTTTTTTTCCTCCAGGGAAAATCTAAACTGAAGGATGTGACCCTAATTCAGCCTCTGGCAGGCTCCTTGGTAAGACTGGGAACTGTGGGGGACTCGGGAGTGATGTTTATTCACAACCAGCCTGGAGCCTGTGTGCATTCACAAAGAATAAATGCAAGGCTGAGGTCTAGAAATGTTTGACAGTTCCTGGCTCTGACAATTAGTCATTTCCAATGGATGAGAGCAGGATGATAAAGCTAAAGTAGGGACAGTGGAAAATCATGAATATGCAGTACAAAACACAGCCACAAAAGCAAGTGGAAAACCAACTGGGGGAGATGGATGGACAAAGACAGATAACACACACAGACCCTACTCTTTCTTTTCAGAGACCCCAAATCAAACCTCTTGCCATAACTGAAAATGGTTCTAGAGGAATCAAATCTGAAGTTTTCTGAATTGGTTCTGGGGTTTCTGGAATTTGTTCTCTAATGCGATTCAACATAGAGGCATTGAGATGGTTATTTCCAGGAGTAAAGGGAGCACTCGTGGCCCATGGCACCAGTGTGCAGACACACAAAATGTCAATCCTGGGTACTGCCAATCAAATAAGTGTGACAGCCAAGGTTCTGGGGTCTGTGTATTTCATCTCTCAGAACATTTTTGTCTAATCAACAAATATAATAGTATTGACTGGTAGGTCCTAATTGTACTGCACAAGATAAGGGGAGGAGTAAGTTCAGGAACTCCATAAACAGGTCAAGAACCCCAAACATGACCCAAAATTTCTATGTCTGTCCTGAAAAAGTTTCTTCCGTTTTACAGTTGCAGAGCTGAAGCGGATGAAAACCAAACTCAAGAGCCCAACCTGCAAGTGGCTGAATTACAATACAAGGCAAACTCCCAACGCCACAGTAACTCCACTGTTACAGTGAGGCACTGCCTTGGAGGGAGCCCTGCCTCCCCCCAATCTCCAGTTTCCAGGGGCACCATCACCTCCTCCCTAGTCCCCAGCTACACTATCCATCCTGCAGCTTTCAGACTTGCCAGTTCCACAAACACTTCTGGAACAAAGTCACTTCTAGGGCGAGGTGGGCAAAGAAAACCAGTATCAATCCATCCATCCATCTTTTTCTCTCCGCACCTCCACACTCACCTCTCCATCCCTCCCTTTCAGTTCCATTTCTCTGGGTCCCCTTGATTTTGATTAGACTTCATGACATTCACAACCCAGTCCACTTGCCACTCTCAATCCCAACTCTGCGTTCAAGACTGCTGTGTGGAACACGAGCTTCACACGAAGGATAATCCTCTAATGGAAGGGGTCCTCAAAGGCCCCAGGACCACGTGCTTCTCAGGAGGCCCACGCCACTGCTGCTGGCCCACAGCGCTGAAGAAGTCTCATTTTCAACTGGGATTCCCACAGTTTAATGTTGTTCAGCTGTGGCTACAACTGTTTTGAACATTTCTGCATCTACTTTGCAGGGGTGGGGTGAGGAGGAGGATGAAGATGGTCACCAGATGAGGTCATCAAGCACCGCCCACGGGCCACTGCTCACACACGGAAGGCATCATCAGTCATGCTAGATCTCACATGTGGACCCGATGCAGGCCAAGGGAACCCATTCTGGAGAAGTCCCCACAGGAGACTTGGGGGAAACAGAGCCAACCCAGAGCGAGTCACGGCTTCTGCTCCACATTGGACTGGATCACTGGGGACAAGAGGCTCAATCCTTGCATTTCCCTTTCTCTTCCATGAGATGAGTCTGCTAACTCAACTACCGGCTAAGTCTTTTCCAAGAATACAATCTGGTGCAGGCCGTGGTTTCATTTCCTTATCTGCAAATGGGCTCAGAGATAGGAGAGGTAGAGTGGCACACCTCTTGGGAAGTCGGGGTGCAATGGCGTAGGGCTAAGCGGGCCCATGCCAACAGTGGTTTACTGATGCAGGTGTCTGGTTGAGGAGGCAGCTGCAGCCACTGAGAGGGAGCAGCTGTGGTTCCTGCCATTAGCAGGGTTAGGATTCTCAACAGCCTTAATTTGCTAAGAAAGCCGGAGTCCTCCTTTGCACCATGCCCCTGAAGCTCTGGCTAATACCTCTTTGACAGCACTGATCCCCTTGGCCACTGGGATGTTCCAATCACAGTCTCCCTCCCCCATGAGTAAAGGGGCTAACAGGGGTCCCTGCTCACAGTACAAAGGCCTGAAATATCACTCAGGGCAAGTTGGCTGAAGATATAAAGAATCTCTCTGTTTCCCAGATGAATAAATAAAGTGGCGGAGGCTGGCCGTGCTTCACACTTGCCTCTAGGAGTTGGAAGACCCCACCTGAAGATGACCAACAAACCTTAGCAAGAAACACTCAGCCCAGCTCAGCAGGCCTCATGCTCTGACGCCTAACACGCACACACCTCCAGCACTATCTCCTTCAATAATATCATCGCACTGGCAGGAAGCCTGCCCCGCTGAGATGGGAAGCTGAGACTGGACATGCTCAGGGAGCCGTCCCACATCACTCGGCTTGGCACACAGGTCACCTGCAACAGGATATTGATCCCAGGCAATAAGAACTCCACACAACCCGGCACAGTTTTTCCTGTTCATTCTGAGACTCCTGGCTTTCATACTATCCAGGACTCTGTTGAGTGCTAGACTCCAGTTTCTGTCAGGTTTCCTGAGGAAGTAAACCCCAGCAGACACAGTTCCCAAAGATTCCCTAGGTTAAAATAATCTCGAAGCAGCCAGGCACGAACAGAGGATATCCATGGCCTGAAGTTCAATGCCCAACAATCAAGCCCCAATTCCTCCTTTCATCACTAGCTCCAAGCTTCAGATTATTCAGGTGCAAGGTGAAACAAAATATACAACCCCTGCCTGGGCTGCCTCCCAAGACTGTTAGCAAGCGCAAAGCCAGACGAAAAAGAGCCTCGTGAGCCTGTGACGCTGGTTCTTGCCTGTCCACAATGGAATGCACTCAAATTCCTTTCCGGCAGCTGGGGTTTGTGTCAAGCCAAGGCTTTCAAGGGCTAAAGGGCAACGGTTTGGTGCAGAATCGCCCCTGGGAGTCAGTGCATGCAGTTTGGCTCACACCCAGAAGGTTACAACAAAACAGAAGGTGTCCCCTCTGAATGCTCACCCTCCAAGGCACACACCAGGTCAGGAGTTTCAAAGACAACACAAGAGCACTGGGACCGAGTCAGAGTGCTGGAATGGAAGTGGATGCTACCATACCACCCTCCAGCTGCATGACTTCAAATGAACAAACTACATAGAGGAGAAGGGGTAGTGGTGTTGCCGACTGGGACAGCTCCACAACTCCTACCTGTCCCAATGGAGGTCTGGCAAGAGGTTGGATCCATCTACCCTCCAATTTGGACAGCTGAGTGTTTGAACGCAGGATAAACTCTGCCCAACAATGGCCTAATTCTATTACAATGTTTGGCTTATTATTATCATCTGGACATAGCATGGTTGGTAAAATACACAAAAACTGCCCTTTCTGTCACCCTTTCACCCTGCCAACCATCGCCCGTGACAGAGGCAGCAGTGCTGTGGTCAGTCACTAATGCTGACACTGGCCCCCACATGCCCAGCTGCCTTGCAAATGGGAGCCTGGGTGACACAGGGCTATGAGCTTTTTCCCCGCCCACAATATTCCTAGGAAAACAAGGGCAAAGCAGCCTCGCAAGTGGGTTGCTGGTTTTTAGAGCAGACAATTCCTCCAAGCTGCCAGGAGAGGGCAAGTAGTGCAGGGACCATTAGTTACTGTAAAGCCCCAGCAGAGAGGCCTTCAAGAGAGCTCCAAAGAACAGGACATGGACCTGTGCCCCTGGAACCCAAATGACCCAATAGTCACTGAGCAATCTGTTCTGGGGCTTGCACAGAAATCACTCCCACCAGCCTTCCCAGACCCATGGAGATCGCATCCCAAGGAGAAGCAGAAAAGGAGTCGCAGGCGTCACACTGCTCCCTGATGAAGAGAGAGAGACAAAGAGTGAGAGATGGACAAAGAAGCTAGACAAGACCAAGTCCAAGAGTGAGAACAGCAGACACAACACAGGGGAACAAAAGGCAGAGAGACAGAGGTGCGGGGATGACAGATACAGAGAAGCAAAGGGGGAATCGTGGGGTAATTGAGGCAAGGAAGAAAGGAGTCCTAGTAAACACACATATCAGACCAGGTAAGCTAAGATCCACCCCAAAGTCAACAGCAGGCTCTCAGGCCTTCTGTACATCACTTGTTGTGTACAAGCACACAACAAGGGGTGGGATGGGCCAAATCCATGCAGCCGATGGCTGGTGACAGCAAGGCACTGAGCCATTCATAAGGTATCAGGTGCTCCACGGAACGGCCCCAAGAGAGCATGCTGGAAGTTGCACTTAGGGAGTTAGTTTGCAAGAACCTTCTCAGCAGACTCCTGAGTCATTAAAAGAAGCAGCCATTGCCTAGGAGGTATAGACAGAGTTTATGGACACAGCATCAGCTAACCATCACAAAACTGTCCATGACAGTATCTGGGCCAAGACCTGGCTCACACCTCGGAGGAAATCATCACCACCCCAAGGAGTGGGCTTGCCAAATGACCTTCCCCAGAAGAGTTCTTCATGCAGAAGGGAACTGAAGGAATCCATGTAGACTGAATCCAACTCAACTCAACTAGTCTCTGGCAGTGAGGTGTGTGCACATCTGCCTACACAGCCTCTGCTATATGTATGGCTTTAAATAGATACTCCCAAGGGCACAGCGGAACAAAGGAAGGAAACAGGAGCTCCCTGCCTCGCCCGGCTGTAATTAGGTTAATGCTGGAACGTGATCAAAGTGGCCCACTTGGCATGAGGGTCTGGAAATAGAGCCCTCCCCAGTGCAGAGTCCTCCCCCTCCCCCTCCCCCTGCTCCTCCTCCTATTGGCCCTGCACTCACCCTTTTTCCGGGCCTGGGCGATGACTTCAGCCGCGCTCTTGCTCATCACCTTGGTGATGTACAGCGGACAGTTGGTCTGGTTGGCAATGGTGACAGAACGGTTCACAGCCTCGGCCTCCACCTACAGAAGAACAGCCAGGAGAGCGTGAGGACCCAGCACACCCCCAAAGGACTCTACCTTTCTCCTCCACCCACTGTGTCCCCCAGGGTTCTATCCCATGTAGTACTGCAGGGTGACACCGATTTGGTCATCACTCTACGTTGGGAAGCTGCAATGATAGGGGACAGTCTTCCAGGTTCTTCTCAAAATGTAATCAACAAACCTGCAACTCAGAAGCAGCCCGGAGTCAGTGAGCAATGCAGAATCTTAAGGCCTACCCTAGACTCACAGCCTAGTCATCCTCTGAGGGAGGACTCAGCATGGTGGCTGCCAGCAAGTGTCCGTGATTTTACGTGTGTTAAACGGGAGCTGCTACTCCTAACTCTGCACACGCTTTCTGCTACTCCCATCTTGAGTCAGGACTTTCAGTTGTAGGATATGCAAGGGGGCAGGGCTTCTTTCAGATGCTAGCCAACAAAGCTAGGCAGGATCACCCTGGAGACAATGTAACTGCACAGGGCTCTGGGAATGGAGCAGGCAGCATTGGTGCACATCCAGGACCCCCCATATGTGACAGATGAACAAGCTGGCCAGCCAGTCACAGCCTGCTATGACCTCGGCCCCGAGATGGGAAAACCTGTTCTAATAAGCCATCTGGCCCTCTAAATCTAATGCCTCAATGAATCACATTCCAAAAATTCCAGATACCTCCCTCACCCCCCAGAATTGAGTTACATCTCATGCAGGGATTCAGCAGCGTTTATAATGGGCAGGTAAAAGGATGGCACAGAGGATGTCAAATGGCCACAGGCTGCTGGTGCTGTACTGCAGCAGGTTAAGCCACCCTGGGAAGCCCCAATTCCCAGATGGGAATGGGAGGATGATCTAAGTACTTGGGTCCTTGTACCTATGTGGGAAATCCTAATGGAAATGCGAGCACTTGGCTTTGGCCTGACCTGGCACAACCCTGGCTCTAGGGGGCACTTAGACAGAGAACCAATGGATGCAAGCGGCTCTCTCTCTTTCTCCTTCAAGTAGATAAATATTTCTTTTTTTAAAAGACTTACTTATTTTTTTATTGGAAAGGTAGATCAGATTTACAGAGAGAAAAAGAGACAGAGAAAGATCTTCCATCTGCTGGTTCATTTCCCAAATAGCTGTAATGGCCAGGGCTGAGCCAATCTGAAGCCAGGAACCAGGAGCTTCTTCTGGGTCTCCCATGCAGGTAGAGGGTCCCAAGGCTTAGGGCCATTCTCTACTGTTTTCTCAGGCCACAAATAGGGAGCTGGATGGGAAGAGGAGCAACTGGGACATGAGTTGGCACCCATATGGAATTCTGGTGCTTGAAAAGTGAGGATTTAACCATTGAGCCATTATGCCAGGCTCTCTATATATATTTCTTTCTAAAGTCACTGGTGGAATAACTATGTGGCACCATGAATGGGTTGCTACATGCAACCCCATATCTGCATCAAAGTGCTTCATTTGAGTCCTGGATACTCCACTTCTGATTCAGTTTCTTGCTGATGCACATCCTGGAAGGCATCGGTTGATGGCTCAGGTACTTGGGTCCCTGCTGTGCACATGGGAGACTTGGTATGATTTCTGAGTCTGCTGCTCAGGAGTCTGCTGAGAAGCACCCACTGGCCCATCTCCAACCCAGCCCTGGCTGTTGCAGGCATTTGGCGAATGAATCCAGAGATGCAAGCTCTCTGTCTCTCTGCCTTTCAGGAAAATGAATTTTAAATGCCAGTGGACTCCTCCCCAAATCCTTGCAATACTCTGGGGTTTGAACTCGGAAGGGAGGAACGGGATCTCACTCTTTGTATCCTGCATGCCCCACCCTCGAAGCTCCCATTCTGGTTCCTGGTTAGCTGCAAGTGCTCACCAATGTTTGCTCAACAAACAGATTACTTCACTTTACTAACAGGCGGTTCCACACACAAAGCTGTTATTTTTCACACAAAATAATCAAGCTCATGCCCTTGTCTCCCCAACAGATTGATCTACTACTCCTTGCACTAACCCGTAATCTGATCTAGGATAATATAAACTAAGCCAAGCTCATCCAAATGAGCCTGCCGGACATCAACTCTGTGGAGAGAGATGTCCAGAAATCCACAGGCAGTGCCAATGGTCCCAGACAAAGTTCCCGGAACACCCAAATGCTTTTCATTCCTGGGATAACTCAAGACGCGCCCTTCCCTTTCCATTGCCCCAGCCTCGGATAGAGTCTCAGCAGAGCTCAATGTGACAAAGGCTCAGACAAGATCCTCAGCACTCAGCAGTCATGTTCATGACTGACGCTGGACTGTCAGGAATGCTAAGATGTGACACGGTACTACACAGAAGTACAATAAGCAGAGTTTCTGCCAGAGCAACTGGCTGCCATAAGACCAGCTCCTTGGTGGGAACAGTATAGGTACTAGTGTGGGATCTGCTCAGATTCAGCTGGGAGTTGAATTCAGATTCCAGTCCTGGGTCAGGCAGGAAGAAGCCCATCACTGAGAAGAGGTGACTCCAAATGCTGCTCATTGAAAGAACAGATCCTTTAAACCCCATTTCCCATGCTCTGTCCAAATTTGACCCTTCTATTTTTTGTATGTATATACTTCAGATATAAAAAATAAACTGATTTATACAACTAAACTCTTATTTAAGTGATAGCTCTTTAAAATACTAGGAAAATAGTATGATAGGGGCATACGTGGCATAAGAGTGAAGCCACCACTTGCAATGTCAGAACCCACATTGAGGCACAGATCCAATCATGTTGCTGCACTGAGAATGGCAGACTCCCTGGCAGCCAGTTGTAAAAGTTCTTTGGTGAACGGGCAGATGTGAGAATGTACCAGTGAAGGAGTGGGCATCTGTGGGAATGAACCAATCGGGAAGTGGGCACAATGTGGGAATGCACCAATCAAGGAGCAGGCATCTGTGGAATAGAGAAGCAGAGACCAAAGGAGGAGTCTTGGGGCTCAGCTGAGCCCTTCACTTGGTCCATGTAGAAACACTCACACACACACACACACACACACACACACAGAGCCTCGTTCTCCAAGGGTATGCAGCTCTGCACAGCACCCACACCCCACTCCTAGATGCTCACCTCCTCGGGCCGGCTGAGAACATGTCCCTCAGGCCCGGTGATGCCCAGGTCCAGGATCCTCTGTTGCTCCTAGAAGGTTTCAAGAAAGCCAGGCATCAGGGAGGGTCAAACGTCAGCTGGCTCCAGCAGCTAAAGACCTGGCACAAGGCAATCTGGCAAAGTGGAAACTGGCACCCACTGGCCTATCTCCAAGCAGTGATGGGCTCATGACTCCCCTTCCAGTCTCACCTGAGGAGCACAGAGCAATGCCAGCCTTCCCCAAACCACTCAGTCATTCCCCTAGGTGCTGGAAGCCTCCGTGCTCCCAGCCCACAGCCACGGTAAGGGAGTGAGTGGCAAGGAACAGTTCCAGCTCCCATCCAGAGAGAAGCTGGGGAGTGGGGATCTGGCAGCCATGCCCCTCCACAGGCAGATGTGTGTACTGCCAGTCTTCACTCCACCAGCAAGCTCATGAGTGAAGCCCCAGTATGCAAACACCCTGGCCTGCTGGCATTCCACCACAGTGTACATCCACAGAGGTCACCTGCCTCTTGCCCCCAGGGTGATGAAGAAAAACCCATCCGTACCTCTGCGATGATGTCACCATTTTCCGCATGGACTTGGGCAATGGCACCAATATCCCGGATCACACTCAGGACCTCATATATCTAAGAGAAAGAAGCACAGGGCTCAGAGACCAGGACAGCTAGCTCCCTGCCATGCTGGTAAATTAAAGCAAGTGCCGCTCAGCAACTGCCATGAGGCCAGGTTTTTTCCCATCCCAACAGGAATGTTTCTGGTCACATGGCATGGGAAGACCTCTCTGTCCCTCATGTAGATGGAAGTGAAACTATGTGGGTGAGGAGTGAGAAGGTCAAGGATGAGCCCCAGTTCTGCAGCCAGGCATTGGGGAGGTCCCCGGGGTGCCCTCTGCCATAATGGTTGCTTTCCAAGCTCAGGTCAGGAATCATGGTGTAGAAGCCCCAGGTCCAGGACGTTGATTGCCCTCACACTCCTCCAACGGGTAAACAGCATCAGCAACTCAATCCACCAGCCACTGGCTGCAAAGATGAGGGATGTGTGTCCTCAAACACTGCTCTCCCCAGGAAATAGCCATGGCCCCCGTGTGCCAGGTGTCTTACCTGGCAATCCGTCAGCTGGAAGCGGTCTTTGAAAGCCATGTACACGAGGAAGGAATTGACCCCTGGATGATAGACAACACAGAAAAGCTAGGTCATGCTGTTTAACAGAAAGACCACGACCAAATAATCTGGAAGGGAGTAACAAAGTGGTAAGACAGTCCTGCAAGGCTTCATGCCAGGAATATGTCTGAGAAATGTGGTCACCTTGGGAACACCATAGAATGTGGTCACAGAACCCTAGCTGGTGTAGTTATGCTACACCAGGATACAAGACATAGCCGGCTGCTGCTAGACTATGATCCAGCTCTACCTGTTATCATGCTGAATGCTGTAGGCAACTGTAACTCAATGGAAATGCCCACAGATCCCAGCACAGGAAGGATACAGGAGTAACACCAAGTAACAAGGGTTTCTCAGCTCCATGGTCATCCTATTGGACCACCAGCCAAAGCACTGTAAGGTACCCCTTGTCTGCACTCTGCATGTGTGTGCACATCTGTGCGTCTGTGAGGGTGAGGACACGGCAGAGGGCAGCAGGCACAATGCATGTGACCAGCAGTGGGTAGAGACAGAAAGGGAATGGAAAAGCCAACTGGGTAAATACAAAAAAAAAAAAAAAATTGTAAATCTGAACACAAGAGAGTTCCTTACAGCGCTCTTACAACTTTCAAACCTTGCCAGTACTCAGGCACCCTTGCTCATGACAGTATTTGCAATCAAAAGGTGCAAACAACCTGTGGTTAGAGGAGACCTAGGACGTGGCCCATACAAAGCAGGGCACGCTCCTCAGCCTGATAAAGGAAGGATATTCTGACTCATGTCAGCCACATTTAAGGTCCTCACCTTGAGGACCACACACAAAGTAAAAGAAGCCGACCACCAAACAGTGTCTGATTTCGCTGAGATGTCATATCTAGAACAACCCAATTCACAATTCTAAAAGCTGAATGGGGATCACTGGGCTGGGCCATCCCCAAAACGAGCCTTTTGCACAAGGAACAAATGTGACATTTCTGTGCACAAGAAAAGAACACTCACAAATGTCTTTCCTTTTGGAAAATAGACTGCCCTCTGTGTTGACTTTTAAGAAGCATTTTTTTTTTAATATGAAAGGCCCATCACTTTGACAAGCAGATGGCTCAAGGCTCGTTCTGGCGTCAGAGTTCCCACCTCCCAAGGCACCAGACCAAGCATCCCTGCCCAACATCTATCTCGGTTTCTAAACAACTGTCCTGACAACCTCAAAGCCTCAGCCCAGAATTCAAACCACCTGGGGCTGCTGGCAGATGCATGAGCAGAAAGCCCCTGGACAGCCCAGTCCTTCTCTCCCTGCTAGGCAACAGTAGTCATGGTAACTCCCCACCCCCAGTGGAATTTGTAAGTATCCACAGGAAAAAATTCTTAAGAGCTTAAAAAGTCAACAAAAAGGCCAAAACTTATCTACTTTCTTTCCTGTGATATTTTCAAACTGGAAGGAATCTCAGAGGACTTTGAGTCCGACACCCTCATGTGGTATCAAATGGAGGGGGCAGGCATATATAGCCCAGGAGGAAATTTGCGCTGATTCTTCATTGGAGTCCCTGGAGTCATTTCTTCACTGCAGCTTCTCTGTGAGGCAGCAGAAAACTGGCTTCCTGTCTCCCACCAGGGAGACCTAGATTGAGTTCCTGACTGTCAGTTTCAGTCCCAACCCGGCCCCAGTCACTGGAGGCATTTGGGGAGGGATTTTGCACATGGGAGCTGGTTCTGTTTCTCTCTGCCTCTGAGACCAATGAAGATGAAAGGAAATAAATCAGATCCCTAACATGTCAGTTATCTGTCCAAAGTCACACAGCTCATCTGTCCCAGGGCAGAGGAGGAAGCCAGAGCTCCAACTTTCTTCTCTGGGGTTCATCAGACCCTCTCCACAAATATCTACCACCTAGGCTTCCAGATTTCCCTCGAGCCATTTTATCACAGCAACAGACACTTCTGGGCCTGGAAGTTCTAGAATTCCTAGAGCAGAAGGAACTTCCCTGAAGGGCAAAACCTAAGCAATCAGGTAGGAACTCCAGAAATCCAGTCCCCAGAGAAGAGGAGGATGTGTTCGAGCTCTAGGACAAGAACCCCCAATCTTTCTGTGGACAAAAAAAAAAAAGCCTCAGAGGCACCCCTGAGTTAGCAAAGATGCCCCCAGCCTCCCCAGTCCCTGGGGATGAGCTTCCTGAAGTAGTTCTAGGAAACAGCAAAAATCTCTCTGGCTGTCTTGGGCTGAAAGATGTTCATCAAACTGATTCTTCCGGGGGAAGGCCCCTCTGAACTGATGGGGCACCTCTGTTGGAGGCTCACTAGTCACCCCTCTGGGATAAAGCACTCCTGCTGCAACCTCAACTGGCCAGCCTGCCAAGAGAACACAAAAACCCCCGCACCACCAAGCTGGAAGCAGCAGTGACGTCAGAGCAGGTCCCAGCAGGAAGGCCAACAGTGCAGCATCGGGTTAGGCAAGTGCCCTCTCCTTGCCAGGGTAACGTCCATGCCTGAGACACAAGTGGGATCCATGAGTGCGATTCTCTAAGAACTGCGCCCGTTTGTGGATTGCTTTGGAAGTGGCTGCAGAGGGCGCTGAGCCAGCACAACCTACCATGATCCTTCACGAGGGCCTCCATCTCCTCCTGGATGCCCTTGTGCCACTCAGTAATGTCCACGTGCAGAGAGTAGTCGCAGCAAGACTTGCTGTCGGCCCATTCCCTCCACTGGTCAAAGGCGGCCAGCAGGCTGGTCCCAGGCTCAGGAACCACATGGTCAACTGAAAAGAAAAAAGCACTTTGGTCATTCACACAAGCTCCTCGGGTCAGGGGCCAGCCAGTGTGTACCCACTTGAACCCTGAATAAGGCTTCTTGAGTTCCCAATCTAGACAGTGATCTCGGCAAGCAGCTCCTAAGAACCCACTCGAGCCCGCTGACTACCCCCAGAGGGGACAAAGCAGAAACTTGGCATAAGAAGGATGGCTCTGGTGAAACCATGCATGAACTGCCCAGATCTGATTTCCCAGCTCACAAGCCCTGAAAGCACGTTTCATGGACAACAGGTCCTTGCAGACAAAGACGGTGTCAAGTGGCCAGCAAGGCAGCCAAACCCTCCGAGCTGTTTGGGAGACATCCCCCCTCCAGAAAGCCAGGGATTCGAAGGCGCTGCAGCGGGGCCATGCAGACGGAGCCTTTCCGAGGCTCTCAGGCATGCCCACTCTCTCACAGCTGCTCACATTTCTGCAGCATAATGCCACTTTGTAATTTAAAGGAAATCTCTCATCTTAAGAGTTCAAAGCACTTTCAAATGGTGGTCATTGAGGTAGGCCGATAGGGAAGATAAATGACTTTGGACTGAGGGTGACCTGAGGTTTCTTCCTGGCGCCATTGTTTACCTGCAAGGTGCCCTTGGGTTAGCTACTTCGCCTCCTCTGCTCTACGTGTCTGCGGGGATAATATTACCTAGCACACACATTCGGCACGGATATTAAATGAAATCTTACATTGCTCTTCCATTTAAAACTTCCAGTGACTTCCATGGCTCTACAAGGTCTGCTCGGCCTTGGCCTACTTTTACCACACAATCCAGCACCCTCTCTTACTGCACTTTGCTCTCCAACTATACAAGCTGTCTTTCAGTGGATACAATACCAGCCTGACCCCTCTCACCCCAGGCCCTTTGCATGTGCTATCATCCCTCCCAGGCTCTGGAGAGGTCTCATCCAGTGACTGTGACAACTCAAGGCTTAGGAGACTATTCTTACCCATCTTCTGCACAGAAGCATTAAAATGCTAACTGAAAGGATCTGTCCTAGCCAAATCAAGGTTGTACAAAACCGCATGGATGCAAAAGTTGAGACACTGCTTGAGATCCCACATCCCACATCATGGAACTGGGTTTGAGACCTAGCTCCACTCTTGAGTTCAGCTTCCTGGCAAAGAACACCCTGGGAAGCAGCATAAGTACTTGGCTCTTAGGGAGAGATACCGATGTGGGAACAAGGATTGAATTCCTAGCTGCCAACTTCAGCCTGGCCCATGTCAGGCTTTGTGAGTCACTTGAGGAGTAAAACAAAAGATGGAAGATCTCTGTCTATCCCTCACTGCCTTTCAAATAAATCTTTAAAAACAATAAAATGAAAGTTTAAAAAAACAGCACAGGGGCCAGCTCCATGGCATAATAATCTAAGCCTCTACCTGCAGTATTAGCATCCCATATGGGTGCTGGTTCAAGTCCCGGTTGCTCCACTTCCCTTCCAGCTCCCTGCTTATAGCCTGGGAAAGCAGCAGAGTACAGTTCAAGTCCTTGGGCTCCTGTACCCATGTGGGAGATTGGGAAGAAGCACCTGGCTCCTGGCTTCAGATCAGCTCAGCTCAGGCCACTGCAGCCATCTGGGGAGTAGGCAGCAGTGTATCTCCTTTTCTCAGCAAAATCTGCCTTTCAAATACAAATAGATAAATCTTTTCTAAAAAGAGACAGAATCTAGTATTATTAAAGCCCAAAGCAATGCCTCATTCTTCATAAATAAAATATTAGATTTTCAACTTCCAGGTAAGCAGTTCTGAGCTAAGAAAACTCCAGCTCAGCCTGAGCTCAGATTTCTGAAACGGATTAAATCTCGCAGGCGCTGCTAAATTGCTCAACTAGGCTTGGCTTGGTCCACATCAGAAAAAAAGTCTGTCTAGGCTGAATTTTCTTTTCTCAAAATTGACTTTTGAAATTGTTGATGTTTGTAATTAAACAGGTAGGTACAAACCTGGTATGTCCAACATCATAATGTTATCTAACGAAAGCAAAAATTACAGGCACCTTACAAGCAAGCCTGGATAAAATGCTAATAACATAAAACATTCTTAGGTGGTGTGCCTTTCCCAAGATACACACAAAAACACCACCCTATAGCAATCGGTCTGAAAGAAATTTCCCACAGTCCTCCTGGCTGCAGCTCTCTCCCCTCTTCAAACCATCCTTGCTAAGCAGGAGCTTTAAGGGCAAACAAGTGCACACACTGCAACTGCCCTCCTCCAACCCTCAGGAGCCATCCCCCAGCTCCAGAGTAAAATGTACACTCCTTCCCCTGGTTCTGCCAGGTTGACTCCAGGCTAATCTCACCCAGGCATCCTAGGCCCCTTTGTGCTCACCACCCACAGCCACCCAAACATCTCTCAATTCAGGCACTTGGCCAGCTCCCGTGCACCCGTAAACTCTGCGACTGGTTGAATCTACAAATGTGGACCCTGGAGGGACAATCACCTGTCTTCTCCTGGGGACCCCCACTAGCCTTTCCTGTTGTGTCCCCCAGAGAGGCCATGAGGCCTGAGCCCATTGTGTAATATGGTGCTGCGAGAGCCTCAATTTCACCTGCACCCCACTCACTGATGACACAAGAATAGGCGGAAATTGTCAGAAATTGCTTTCTAAACATTTTTCTGATGAGATAATTTCAAGAACAAAATGTCACAGCATAAACAATTTTAGGAAAAATAAGTCACACATTTAATCCAGTCACCATACTATCTGACCTTCTCTCGAAAAATTAACCTGCTCAACTTCAGGAGTATTTTCTCTAAGTCTTTTCTCTGTGTTGTATCTTGGTTTTTGTTTTTTTGTTTTCTTTTTCCTCTTCCCAAAAGTCTTAAGGTGGCATAGCAAGGCGCTTCACATATCAGGGTCTGGTGAACTGGAAATATGAGTGAAAGAAAGACAAACAGTGGCAATATGCAAAATTCAGATTGAGACACACAGGCACAGAGGTGTGTGTGTATATGCACAAGTGTGCATGTGTGTGCACATAAGTACACAAATGTGTGTGACAGATGTACATGTGAGGATGTGCATGTATGCACTGTTATGCGTGTCTACATGCACAGGAGTGTGCACGCATGTGTGCGTGTGTAATGGCTATGTGTGCGCATATGCACAGCTGTCTGCACAGGCGTGTGTGTGTGTGTGTGTGTGTGGAAATTCTTGGAGAATCATACTGAAAGCATTAACTTTGGTGTACATACTTTATAATTCACACAGAATTTTTTGATAAGATGTATTTTCTATGAACTTGTTGACAATCTTTTATCAGTAAAACAGGTAAGTAACATTTAGTTCTTAAACACTTTCTAAACTTAGAGTTAGACCCTCCAGCCAGGGTAAATGAAGAAGACTCTACCATTCCCTGATCTCTACTGGGACTGAGAAATCATTGATTGTCAGGAGGACAGCAGTGACTGCTTAGAGACACTGAACACTCCTTCCTCCGGGTCAGTTTATGGTGACTTTTATGATGTATTCTGACAGTATTAGCACTTGATAAGATGCTTAAAATGTCAAATCTTAACACCTACTGCAGAGACAAACTACCCAGTTCTGCTCCCGGGCTCTACTGTTCCATTCATTTCTGATAGTACCAGATACTGCAGCACATTTAATACATTTAAATATGTAATGATAAAAGCCCCCCCCCCTTTTTTTTTTCTTTTAAGAGGGAGAGAAAAAAAAATCATCTTTCTTAAGCTCATTTCCTCCCTGGTCTTCTCTTCCCCTCCATCAACCTATGAAATCTGAGCAAATCACCTATAGGAAGTCTGTTGCTCCTCCAAGCTACCACCCACTGCCAAGCCACCCACTACCACTGCCTCCACTTACCCCACTACACAGTAGGGAAGGGCATGGACCAGGAGAGCCTTAGCGAGGCAGAGGGTTCAGAACCCTGAATCCCTAAGGATATCCCAGCCTTCAGTGCTACCCTACCCGCAGGTGTAGCTGAACACAGATCCTGGGCCTCATCATGCAGGTCATGGTTCTGCAGACCAGGCTGGCACCTGCTCATCTGTGTTCCTCACAAGTGAACCCCATGGGCCCAGTATGGTGGCACACCAAACTAAGCCTCAGCCTACAGTCTGGCACCGCCCCCCCCATTTGTGTTCTGGCTGCTCCACCTCTGATCCAGCTTCTTTTAATGGCCTGAGAAGGCAGCAAACGATAGCTCAAAGCCATCCCTTGGGCCCCTGCACCCATATGGGAGACCCAGAGGAAGTTCCTGGCTCTCAACTTTGGATGGGTTCAGCTCCAGCTACGGCAGTCATTTGGAAAATGAACCAGTGAATAGAAAACCTGTCTCTTTTCTCTCTAAAATCTGCCTTTCAAGCTCCCGCTGTTGGGACCGCTTGGGGAGTGAATCATCGGACAAAAGATCTTCCGCTCTATCTTTCCTCCTCTCTGTAAATATGACTTTGCAATAAAAATAAATCTTTTTTAAAAATCTGCCTTTCAAATAAAAATAACTAAATCTTAAATAAGTAAATGAAAATAGAATAAGTGAGTCCCTTACTCAGGTCACCATGTCACTGAGTGCAAATCATCTTTCATTTACTTTTGCTCCCTCTCCAGCCACACCCAAAACAGCAGCATGGACAGCATCCGACACCACCCCCTGGCCGCCACATGGTGGCTTCCCTCCCATCCCACGCTGGCTCCTGGCATGATGACCCCTAGGAAAGTCAGCATACAGACTGAGCTGAGCACTGCAGGCAGAAGCATCAACTCGCTTCCTCCCAGAGCTAACAACACACAGAAATGCATCCGGGAAAAGCCTCTGCATGTTTTCCCACAGTTCCCTCTCCATAGAAGCTCTCCTGGGGAGAGCCGCTCTCAGGGAACAGGGCAAAGGGTCACCCTCGCTTCCGGAGGGAGCAACGTGTCCCCTCCAAGGATGCAGCTGGAAGCCACTTGCACGGAACTCACACGCCTGCTCCCTGGGGACCTGCCTGGGCTTTCTGCCCCAA